AGTCATCAAATCTAACCCTCTGCTCAGAGGCAGGATCAAGTAAACCTAGACCATCCCTGACAGGTGCATGTCCAATCTGTTCTTAAAAACCTCCAGCAATGGCGATCCCACAACCTCCCTGGGAAGTTCCCTGGAGCTCTGCAGACTATGTTTAAGATTTCCCGAAAGGGTCCACACCTCCATTCAAAATTGTGTTATGGGTCCAAAAATGAAAAAGGTTGAAAACCACTGATCTAACCTAAATCTCCCTTGCTCCAGATTAAGTAAGGGTTTCTTCAGGTATGTTAGCAACAAGAAGAAAGTCAAGGAAAAATCATGGAGCAGGTCCTCAAGGAATCAATTTTGAAGCACTTAGAGGAGAGGAATGTGATCAGGAACAATCAGCATGAATACACCAAGGGCAAGTCATGCCTGACTAACCTAATTGCCTTCTATGATGAGATAACTGGCTCTATGGATGAGGGGAAAGCAGTGGATGTGTTATTCCTTGATTTTATCAAAGCTTTTGATATTGTCTCCCACAGTATTCTTGCCAGCAAGTTAAAGAAGTATGGGCTGGATGAAAGGACTATAAGGTGGACAGAAAGCTGGCTAGATCGTCAGGCTCAACGGGTAGTGATCAATGGCTCCATGTCTAGTTGGCAGCCGGTATCAAGCAGAGTGCCCCAAGGGTCGGTCCTGGGGCCGGTTTTGTTCAATATCTTCATTAATGATCTGGAGGATGGCGTGGATGGCACTCTCAGCAAGTTTGCAGATGACACTAAACTGGGAGGAATGGTAGATACGCTGGAGGGTAGGGATAGGATACAGATGGACTTAGACAAATTAGAGGATTGGGCCAAAAGCCATCTGATGAGGTTCAAAAAGGACAAGTGCAGAGTCTTGCACTTAGGACAGAAGAATCCCATTCACCGTTACAGACTAGGGACCGAATGGCTAGGCAGCAGTTCTGCAGAAAAGGACCTAGGGGTTACAGTGGACGAGAAGCTGGATAGGAGTCAACAATCGCCCTTGTTGCCAAGAATGGCATTTTGGGCTGTATAAGTTGGGGCATTGCCAGCAGATCGAGGGACATGAACATTCCCCTCTATTCGGCATTGGTCAGGCCTCATCTGGAGTACTGTGTCCAGTTTTGGGCCCCACACTACAAGGAGGATGTGGAAAAATTGGAAAGAGTCCAGCGGAGGGCAACAAAAATGATTAGGGGGCTGGAGCACATGATTTATGAGGAGAGGCTGAGGGAACTGGGATTATTTAGTCTGCAGAAGAGAAGAATAGGGAGGCGGGGGAAGGATTTGATAGCTGCTTTCAACTACCTGAAAGGGGGTTCCAAAGAGGTACGAGATGAGAACTGAGAGAGGTACTGAGAACAGTGGTACGAGATGACAGAACAAGGAGTAATGGTCTCAAGTTGCAGTGGGGGAGGTTTAGGTTGGCTATTAGTGAAAAACGTTTTCACTAGGAGGGTGGTGAAGCACTGGAATGGGTTACCTAGCGAGGTGGTGGAATCTTCTTCCTTAGAGGTTTTTAAGGTCAGGCTTGACAAAGCCGTGGCTGAGATGATTTAGTTGGGAATTGGTCCTGCTTTGAGCACGGGGTTGGACTAGATGACCTCCTGCGGTTCCTTCCAACGCTGATATTCTATGATTCTTGTCCTAATTTCAGTAGACACAGAACAACTGATAACAATCCTCTTTAAAACAGCCTTTAACATATTTGAAGATTTATCAGGTCCCCCTTCAGTCTCCTTTTCTCAAGGCTAAACATGCCCAATATTTGAACCTTTCCTCATAATAAAAGTTCTAGAAAACCTGACATATTTCTGTTGCTCTCCTCTGGACTCTAAGTTGCCCACATCTTTCCTTAAGTGTGGCATCAGAACTGGACTACCATGTTTTTTTGAAAGCATAAATACCATCAAAATAGCATTCCTACAGATAGGAAGTTAAGATTATTACATTTTACTTGAGAGATCATTTATTTTAGATCTCACTCTTGTTAATGGAGTCTAGGAGGCTGAAAGAAATTACATATCCAAAGCCAACTCTATTCATTCAGGTTTCAGAGTAGCAGCCGTGTTAGTCTGTATCCGCAAAAAGAACAGGAGTACTTGTGGCACCTTAGAGACTAACAAATTTATTTGAGCATAAGCTTTTGTGGGCTACATCCCACTTCTTCGGATGCATAGAATGGAAGGTTACATTCTATGCATCCGAAGAAGTGGGATGTAGCCCACGAAAGCTTATGCTCAAATAAATTTGTTAGTCTCTATGGTGCCACAAGCACTCCTGTTCTATTCATTCAGTTGGCATTGCACTTTGACCCAGCTAAAAGGCAGAAAATATGGGTTAACACAATTAACCCTTAGACATCATAAATAAATTCAAGCACTGTCAACAAATTCTGTTACCAAGAAGGAAGCAAAATAAAGTGAATTAAAACAAGAAAAGTTTGCTCCAATGATAGTTCTTTGATCAGATAGTACAACTGAACAAATCTATGTACCAAGATTACAAGTGGTAGCAATTTAGGGCAATGGTTTGTTTTGTTTTTCTATTGTAGCCCTTACTTTAAAAGGAAACTTTTTAAATCAGTTCTGTTATTAGCAGTTTTTGTTCACATTGATTATTAAATCCAAGCCTTGGCATTAATCACGGACATGTTAGGTAATTGCTTAAAGCCAATAATTGCATTAAGCACCTGTCTAGTAGCATTAGCGCTGAGATCTAAAAACAAAAGCGTGAAAGAAAAATGCAGTACATTAAATTAAGATCATCATTAGGATAAAAATGTTAAAGGAGAATTTTCTTTTTAATCTTCAGGGGAAAAAATCATCCAAATTTGTATGTACTATGACACAAGGAGAAATATAAGTCATTAAGTCAATTTCTGCTCATTTCAACAAGCAATGATAGAGAATTACTTGGCACATAAAACCAAATTTGAATGATTTGTCACTGAAACACTTACAATGTAATTGCCTTGTACTAATACTGTGAGGGAGAGGGAAAAGAGAAGGTCTGTTATGTACTTGCGCTGCTCCAATCATCATCATATCAGAGCACCTAGCAATCACTTAATTTATCTTTGGAACACACCTGCAAGGTAGGGAAATAATAGTATCCCTCTTTCTGAGCAAGGCTACCGAGACACAGATATTAGGTCACTTTCCCAAGGTTACACAGAAAGTCTGTGGCTAAGACAGGTATTGACCCCAAATCTCCCAAGTCCCTGCCCATGGTTCTATCCGCAGGAGGGATCTGACTGTGAAACAAGGGCTCCCGCTGTGTAAGTGAACACCATGAATTTGCTTTGGCCGTATCACCCTCTTGTATCCCCATGCTCAGGAGTAAAAAAGCATTTTGACAGTATCATAAAATGTATAACAAGAATATGACATGGTCCCAGCGCTGGAGTGCGTACAGTTTAAACAGAACTCATCATTAGTGCTCATAACAAACAGTAATGGGGTCACTGACTTAATTACTTAGAAAGGCTAGGAATGGGATCACTAAATTCAGCTCCATAGCCTAATGCTCAGGCTATATTTTTGAAACTAGTAGATCAAACTCATAATCCACTTGTAACAAGGAGCCCAAATCCCCCACAAGTGAACTGCTATTCACCACATGGAAAAAGCCAACCTCAGGTGCAATTGAATACCACATCTCATTGTCCCCTCAGCCGCAACTTAAACTGCACCCCAGACATTTAGGCAAAGAGGAACCACAAAGCTTGTTGGCTGGACTTGCAAAAAACAAAATTTATTTCCATTTACTATGAAGAAGCTCTGTCCTGAGTAATTACTAGGATTCAACAGGGAGCCTTATTAGCTATACTGGGGAAGATGAGGAAGGAGGAAGAACAGTTCCGACAATTAGGAGCTTCCATGACTTTGCCTGGCTTGAGAATTCATGAGAATAAGGAGCCATTTCAGCCACCAGAAGCAAATACAGGCCTTCCAGTGAGGTCAGTAGGAATCATATGTGCACAATCAAAAGCAGAACCCAGCCCTTAGCCTGCATAACAAGAATACAAGAATAAGACTTGCATACTTTAGTTGAAGTGCTCCAAACCTCCCACACAAGGGGCACAGATGAAATTCTCATCATGCTACATATTATGAGAAGTTAATGCTTTGATGAAAGGCTAAAATTACATTTCTCATGTTGATATAAATTTAATAAACATTACAAAAAGAATTTGCACTCTTATACTGCCTTCCATCCATGGATGTTATTACAAGCAGTGTTTCCTCTCTCCCACTCACACATACTCCTCTTACATAACTTGCTGCATGAATACATACAATAAATAACTGCCCTGAAAATCTGGGCACACCCAAGTCACATATTGGGATATTTACCACCTGAAATCCATTATTTAATGTTCTAGCACCTATATTTTTCCTTCTTATAATTTCGGCACTATTTTTTAACATAAGAAATATGACTGTTGATAGTGGGAATACTATAAAACCCCACAGCTGTTTATTGGAATGTGGTGTCTCTGTAGAACACTTTGAACAAAGTATATCCAATATCTAGACAATGTCTTCTAGGATCAGTATCCAGTACTACCACCAAATCCCAGTAAGATATTGAGCATCTCACTTAACAGCTCTGTGCCTCAATTTACCCAATATCTACTTCACAAGAGTATTAGGCAGGTCATATTAATTAGGGTTTCTAGAGCACTTTAAGATCTTCTAATGTTAAGGCATTACAGAAATACAAAAGGTTATTTTTAAAAAGTTACCACAAACAGATTTCTAAAAACATACCTAAAAGTCTACTACAAAGGTACAGAGAACATGTTACTTAACAGAAGATTGTAAGGTTTGAGATATTTCCTGCTTGTGTTTCACATTCTAATAAAAGTCTCACATTACTATGGACAGGACACTATTTCTGAATATATGCTGAATATTACATTAATGGTACTTTCATTTATTTGTTCCACAGGAATTTTCATATAACATTTGAAATACTGTGACATACCAGCTCTCTTGCTTCTTCTAGCTGTTTCTCCACATTTGCAACCATCTGCTTCTTCTCATCTAAAATAGAATTATGAAGAAAGAAATAAAATTTTGCTCTTCGCAGCAAAGAAAAGTCATGTATACAATTTTAGAAAAAGCTTATCTAGTTCTTAGTATCTGACACAAAGGATTATTTTTGGTGTAAAATTAGTATATAATTGTCAAGTATCGGGGGTAGCCATGTTAGTCTGTATCTACAAAAACAACAAGGAGTCTGGTGGCACCTTAAAGACTAAC